AACATGTCTGCATTGGTCCCTGCCAGGAGTCCAACAGATTCTTAAAGCTACTTAGAGAGGTCAAGGTCGAGAGCTTCAAATCTTTTTGTAAGATATTCCAGGAAACAGGAGCGGAGTAGGATATATATATATATATATAATAAAATACAGATAATGCTGCTACTTTTTCACCTACCTCTGACTCTGGAACCCCAGTGATAGGTGAGGGATCACTGTAGTCTTTATCAAGAACCAAAGAACTGGATGTTTCATGAGTGTGGCCTAATAATTGTAATAGTTAAAAATAACCAGAATTCCTTGAAGAAAAGCACATGACCTGTTGCCTCACAAGCCAAAGAAAAATAAAATGTTGCATGATCTGTTAGGGATGACTTTCAGCTACTACCACACTGGGTTTTAATAAAATTTCTGTAAAACTTAGTTACAACCATTTTTGTGTTTGCAAAGGTCATCAAGCTGTGGCAGCCATCTTGAATTTGGTCAACTCTAAAAGTTAACCAGTTGAAGATGTGCATCCAGCTTATTAAAATCTGTCCAGTGGTTTATGAGATATTCTGCTAACAGACACATTTGACTAATAATAAATGCCATTTTGGTGTTTGCTGTGGTTGATAAGTTGTGGCAGCCATCTTGAATGGTGTTGACTAACAGTGGTAAATGTATATCCAATGACTCCTGTGAGAGTTTCAATCAAATCTGTCCAATGGTTCATGAGATATTTTGCTAACAAACATTCATTCACACAATTATATTGCCACCGTTCAATGCATTGGTCAAAAATAACTAATCTTGATTATCTTTTGTTAAAAATTGAAATAATAAAAAAAATCAAACCACATATTTCCTTAAGATGAAATTGTGTGCTACGCAGTAAATATTTAGTGGATTACAAGTCAGTAGGATTTACCATTTGGTGAAAATTGTTTCACAGAAAAGTATTCTGAGATAAAAAGTCAAGAGTTCAAATTGTCAGGGTTTCCCCTCAGGTCACGTTACAACAACTCATCTAATAGAAGTTGTATTGTTGCACGCTGAACCAAAGTGTTGGAGCAGATACAAATGTGTTGCACAGACTCCTGCTTCCTGCATGACACACAACCCTGGAAGACTGTTGCAGTGAAGAAATAAAACCACAAAGATGTTTAAGCTTGGAAAACTCAACATTGTGGCCACTTTGTTTATTTAATATCAGCCATTTTTCAGATCGTTGCCATCCTATAAACCGGTTTGTAAAATGATCAATGTGCACTTTAGGATGGGAAAAGCCAATGTGGTCTGCTCTGGCAGCTGTTGGAAGAGAAAGAAAAATCGTTATGATACTAATCACAACATATGAGATGCAACACAAGAGGAAAACAGTAATGATCCCGAGCTCGACGGATGAGCTGGAGCACGGGGCCATGGAGCTGCACTCTGATTCAACCTTTATTTATACTGGTTAATCCCGTTGAGCCTCGGGACTCATTTACAAGAGAGACCTGAACTGTGATGGAGGGAATAAAGACAGAGGAAGTGCCGATAAACAGGCCAGTAACGGGGCCATAAAGGTAGTACTCAATGGCATAGACCTTTGGAGACTAGTTGGCGGATCAAAAATGTAAGAAAATATGCAAATAATGAACAACATTGGCCATACAGAAAAATTAATGTAACCATCGTGATGGTTTGTTGTTGCTTTTCTGTTTTCTTCACACTG